CCTGTCAGCTCCACTGTGATTTGCAGCAGTGAGTGATCCCTGTGAATGGGACCCTTTCACGGGGATCAGCTCCTGCTCCTCAGGCCACAGAATTCCATTTTTGGGGCAAAACACATTAACAACAGGTTTGAGTTGGTTCCCGATTCAATTCTACCCTGAGCACAGCCAGAGTCACTTTTTTAGGGCTTTTCCCTGGATGTGGTACAAGAGACAGGGAGGATTATCTGATCCCTTATTCCTTGCACACTTCTGGAGCTTCTCTGGAGCAGATCCAAGTTAATTCCCTGTAGGGAAGCAGCAATCTGATGCCTCTCTAATTCCAGCTGTCCCCCTAAACACCAACCCCACTCCCTGGGTGAACATTCCAGGGTTAAAATCCACAGCACAGGTAGGAAAGACCTGGATTAAGATAAAACATGGATCTCAGGTGGCAAAATTTGCCCCTTTTCTCTTCCAAGCAAACCCTGGAAATAAACCCACACAGGTCTTGTGTTTGGCTCAGCAAGAGGACAGAACCTTCCCCAGACCAACAGGCCATTCCAGGTGCTTCTGTCCTGGCAGGAAGTGTTTTCCAGCCATTGTTCCACACTGCCTCGGGTAACCTGAGCCCTGGAAAGCAGCAGCTTGTTCTGCACAGGCTCCAGAGATCCTGAGAGCTTTTTTTACCTCGGGTGAGGCTGCTCAGAGGCTCCAGCGGGTGTCCCTGAGCCAGCCCTGGAATCCAGTAGGATTTTTCCTGGCCAGGTACGAATGCTGTCAGGGAATGCTGTTGGGTCTGGGCTTCAAACAAAGCAAATGACTCACAGAGAGCAGGTTTTGGGCTGCTCCCATTCCCTTCCCTCTCACAAGGAGAACAAAGAAAGCCCAGTCTGAGGGTTCCAGGCTGCAGAGGAGTTCCAGGAGGGAATGAAATGGAGAGCTGCTCACTCCTAAAGAGCAAACTGACCACGGAGCAGCTGCATCACCCCACAGCCAGACCCCCTGACAGCTCCTACGCGGCGTGTTCCCTCAGCCAGGGGGGAAATCCTGCCCAGAGCTCCCTCAATCCCTCCCTTGCTCTCTCCAGACCCATCTTGGAAAACCAGCAGCACATACAGCACATCCAAACGACATTCCAAGCCCAAATCCAGCAGCTGAGCCAGGCCTGGACCTTGGTTTGACCATCCCCCAGCTCCCCTGTGCCATTGTCACCCTCTGCTTCCCAGCTGCCACTTCTTTGGGAGAACCCTAAAAAACGTCCTTCCTGGGAAAGCTCCCACCCCAGGGGACCCCAGCAGAGAAGCTGAGGGAGTTTATTTTCTTTAAATGTGTTCTTTTCCCTCTGGAACAGCAGGAGTTACCCCAACAGAAGTGTGAGTTTCCCCCTGGAATGCTGTCCCGTGCTGCTGGCAGTGAGGTCAAACACAGGTATCCCATGGGATAAGCAGTGGGAGCCCTGCCCCATCCCGTGGGGAGGCACAGGGGGTCCTGGGGTACCTTTTTGAGGAACGTTGCCACCGTCTCTCTCTTGGTGGCCGTGATTCTCTTCACTCCCTCTGGCGACTGCACACGGATGATCTGGGAGGGAGGAGACAGTGGGTCAGGGAGCAGGACAGAGCCCACCCTGAGCCCCCAGCCCCGCATTCCCCTGGTCCTCCCTCCCATTCCCATCTTCCAGAGGCTCTGGGAACACCCAGGGGGACAGCACTGGGTGGTGTCTGCAAGTACAGGGGTGGAACCATCCCAGTGCTCCAGTAGGAGCATCTCCAAGGAAAATACTTCTCTGAGCTCAGAGCTGGAATTAAACCCGCAGGAGGGCGGATCAGAGCTCCCAAGGGGGGGTTATTCATGCAGGCACCAGCCCAACTGGTGTTACTGGGCACTGCACTGGTCGTGGCTGAGCCCTGGTAATCAGGAGATGGGGAGAGGCTTGGGCTGCTCCCGGGAAACCAGAGCTCAGGAACGGGAAAACCGGCAGATTCTGGGGTGGGGGGGAAGGCCAGGGGAGTCCTTCGGGTGCAGGCAGGGAAGGGGCAAAGGTAAACCCCGCTGTCCCGGGGCGTGGAGGGGCTGGAGCTGTTCTCAAGGGGCCGTTCAACCGCTCCTGGGGGAAACGAGGACACGGGCAGGGGGCGGCGTGTGTGGGGAGGGGACACGGGGCACACGAGGGGACACGGAGGGGGACACGGGGGGAGCTGCCCATGTCCCGCCGTCACCCCTTCTCACTCTCTCAACTTCCATCCCGGGCACAAGCCCGTTGGGACGGGACCGGGAGCCCTTCACCGGCCCCACCAGCTCCTTCTCCACCTCCCCCCCGAGCCCCTGCCCGGGGCTCAGAGACACCGGGGGTGTCCCGGCCCCGAACCGCGGGAGAAGAACCACGAGGGGCCGTCCCGCGGCGCCGCGGGCGCTGCCCGGCGCAGGCACCGCCGGGCCCGTCCCGGTGCCCCCGTCCCGGCCCCGCAGGAATCTGCTGCCTCATCGCCCCTCCCCCGGCCGCACTCACGATCGTCTCGGCCATGGCGCTGCCCGCGGGCGCCGGGGGCTCGCCGAGCCGCTCACGCACGGCCCGTCCCGTCCCGCTCGGACTGTCCCGGCCCGTCCCGGCCCTTCCCGGCCCTTCCCGGCCCTTCCCGGCTCCTCCCGGCCCGGCCCGGCCCCGCCGCCTCCCGGGACCGGCCCGCCCCCGCGCCCGCCCCCCCGGCCCCGTGCCCGCCGCGCGCGCGTTCCGCCGCACTAAGGTTCCTACCCCGCGTGCAACCGCAGCGGTCCCCCCATGCCGCCTCGGTGTCACCGCTAAATCAGTCCCCCATGCTGCCTCGGTGCTACACACACAGATGTCCCCCCCGTGACGCACCGCCCGCTGTTTAGTTCCGCATGCAAGCAGTGCCCTCGGAGGGGCCCCCCCGGTCCTGTGGGGCGGGGGGGGGGGGATCGGGTCCAGCTGTGGGGGTGCGGGGGAATCTGACCCTGCTGTGGGGGTGGGGATCGTGCCCAGCTGCGGGGCGGCACCCACAGCCCCATTTAAGCCCTCCCGCAGCCCCTCACATGATGGGAGTGTGACTGGGGTTTGGGCACGAGGTGATGGCGCTGAGCAGAGCCCGGCTGTCCCAGCCCCACGGGGAGAGCACCCGGCTGCTGCCCCAGGTAACGCCAGGGTCCCCACTCCCCTCCCACGGGACCCCCTTCCCGTGTCCCCCACATCCCCCCCCGACCCCTGGGTGCTGGCTCTGTGCTGCATCCCGCATCCCGGGGGGCCTCCACAGGGATGGATCTGGGGGTCCCTGTCGGGGTAGGGGCTCTGGGGTGCATCCCTGTGCTCAGATCCCCGTGAGAGCAGGGATGGGGTACCCTGCATGGGGGGGCTCAGCAAAGGGGTGCAGGGTGACCCCAGGAGCCTGTGACAGTCTGGCTGTGGGACAGGGGCACACAGGAACACTTCTGGGGGCTGTGGAACAGGGGCACAGGGGGACGTTTCTGGGGGCTGTGGAACAGGGGCATGTGGGGATGTTTCTGGGGGGCTGTGAGTGGCTCCTCTGTCCGTGCAGGTGTCCAGGCTGGTGGAGCTGCCCTACTCCTCCTGCTCCGATGACGATGCTGACGGTGTCTCACTGCCTGGGGACACGGCCGAGCAGGACCCCGGGTTATGGTGCCCCGTGCCCCCCAAACCCAGCACCTTCAGCCGCTGCGTGCGCTACCTGGCCTTCCTCTGGAACCTCCTCTTCCTCCTACTGGGGCTGCTGCTCCTGGCCGTGGGGGTCTGGGGGCTGCTGGCCAAGGCTACCCTGCCCGGGGGGGAGCATGGGGCACCCCTAGGCTCGGACCCCATGCTGCTCTTCGTGCTGGGGGGGCTGGGGGCCAGCGCCGTGTCCCTGGCCGGCTGCCTGGGCGCCCTCCGTGCCAGCCCCTGCCTGCTCCGCTTCTTCCTGGGGGCCCTGCTGGCTTTTGCGGGGCTGGAGGTGCTGGGGGGGCTCCTGGTGCTGCTGGCGCGGCGGCGGCTGCGGGACGGGCTGCGGGACCTGCTGCTGCTCTGCCTCCTGCGCTACCAGGAGGACCCCGACCTGCAGTTCCTGGTGGATGAGGTGCAGAGGAGCCTCCAGTGCTGCGGCCTCAGGTCCTACCGCGACTGGGAGAGCAACCCGTGAGTGGGGGCTGTGGGGGTGAGTTGGGGGGAGACCCTGTCCCTGCCCCCCAAACGTGTGTGGACCCACATCTCCCCATGTTCCCCCCACAGGTACTTCAACTGCAGCGCCCCGGGGGTGCAGGCGTGCGGCGTGCCGGCCTCGTGCTGCCAGGACCCTCTGGACAGTGGCTCCGTGCCCAATGCCCAGTGTGGCTTCGGGGTGCTGGCGCTGGGGGCGGCGGCGGCGGGCGCCGTGGTGCACGTGGGGGGCTGCGGGGCCGCGCTGGGCACGTGGCTGAGGGGCCAGGCCGGGGCCATCGCCACCGGTGCCGCCGCCCTGGTGCTGGTGGAGGCCGTGGGTGCCCTCATGGCACTGAGGGTGCTCGGGGATGTGGCGGCTTTCCGGGCGTGGGGGTGATGGGTGGGGGATGCTGGGGGTTTGGGGACATGCGGGGGGCTGGTCCAGCCCAAAATGGACCGTGTCAGAATCCTGAACCCATCCGTGTCCTTGTTCATCCCGCTGGTGGAGGCTGTGGGAGGCTCCATGGCACTGAAGGGCGCTCAGGGACATCATGGCTTTCTGGGTGTGGGAGTGAGGGCATCAGGGGGTTTGGGATATGTGGGGGGCTGGTCCAGCCTCAAATAAACCTTGTCAGATGCCTGAACACATCTGTGTCCTGTCCATCTCACTATCACCACCAGTGTGGCCTCTGAGGGTGCTGGGGGACATTGTGCCTGGAGGGGGGGACACTGGGGATTTAGGGATATGTGGGGGGGCTGGCCCAGCCCAAAACAAACCCTGCCATTCACCTGAACCCCACCTCTGTCCTATTTATCTCCCCATGCCGTGGGGAGACACTTTCCCCCTGCCCCCCCAGATGGTGACATGACTCCTGTGCTCGTTTGGGGGTTCAGGATTTAATTTTTCCAAGCAGAGCCCCACTGTACAGATGGAGAAGCCTCTACCTACACAGCACTATGGGGCAGGTGACCCAGCCAGGCCTGCCCCAGTCCTAGATGATGCCGTACTGAGCCAGCTCGTGCAGCTCCAGGTGGCTGAAGGCCTCCCAGGGACAGATGACGGTGATGTCTGGGGGGAGGAGAGGACAGAGGTTGTGGTGGGGTAACACCCCCCCCCCCAGCCCCTGACCCCCCGCTGCCAAAGAGGGGAAGGGACCCCCATACCTGTTCCCAGCCCTTCCATGCCTGGGATGTCGTCACCGAACCTGCAGGGAGAGAGGGAGTGTCTGGCCTGACCCCCAGGCAGCCCCACCACCACCCCAGGGCCTGTCCCCACTCACCCCTGCACCCCCTTTTTGGGGGGTTTGCTTTTGAACTGCCTCGTCTGCCTCTGCTTGAACTTGGGGGGTCCTTTGCGGGGGGTGGCGGGACCCCCGGTCACCCTCGTGGCCGATTTCACCTCCAGCTTGGGGGGCTCCAGGCTCATGGCTCTGGGGGGGGCTGGCAGCCAGCCCCAGCTCACGGCGTTCCCTGCGGATCCGGTGCTGGCACGGGACAGCTGCTTGCACCTGCTGGAGGGGGAATGGGGGGCACCAGCTCCTCCTCCCACCCTGTGCCCCCATTCCCACCCTGTGCCCCCATTCCCACCATTCTCCCTGATTGGCTCTGAGGAGCCCCCTGCCCTCAACACTGCCTCAGCCCAGCTCAGCCCGCTAATCCCCTTTCTCCAAAGGCAGAGAAGGGTGTCCTGGGGGGGCACTAGACTTGCTGCCACCCACTGGGGTTGTTCCTTCATCCCGTGCACCACATCCCAGCATGGATTTGACACCTGAGACCACCCATGGCACTGCCAGGACTCCCTCCCCACAGCTCACCCTGGGGTCTGTGCTGTGGTGGGCAGCAGTGTGGTTTAGGGGTGGTGGGCACCCCAGGCTGGGCAGGGGGAGCAGAGGATGGCCCACGGGCTCCATCCCCCCTCCAGGCACCAGGAGCAGGAATTCTGCAGCACAAGACTTGGCTCTGGCACAAGGGGTTCAGCCCCACTGCAGAGCTCAGGAGCTGGGCACAGGCCTGGGAAGAAGGATCTGACCCAAGGAGATGCCTGGATGTTCCTGAATGATATTCCTGAATGCAGGAATAGCAGCAAAGCAACCCCGTGTCCCATCCCATCCCAGGAACCCCTGACTCACACAGTCCCACGGTTCCCGAGGCCAGCGCTGCTCCCTCCGTCCCACAGCCCGGAGATGCTCTGGGGGGCTTTTCGGGAGGGAGATTTATCCTGCCCGGGGGTAATAGGATTATTTAGCTCCCTTCTCTCCCAAGGGGTAATCCGGTGTCCTTCCCCCGCCCTGGGTGGGGAGGGGGTGTTGGGATTAGTGCCGGTGGGACAGGCTGTGCCCAGCCGGGCAGCAGATCCCACACAGGGCGATCCCACCTCCTCCCCTGGGGGATCCCCCATTCCCCAAGAGATTCCCTCAGTGCCCCTCGCTCCCAGCAGGAGGGATGGGACCCCCATCCCAGTCTCCCTCCTGGTCCAGGTGGGGGTCCTGGCACAGGGGATGCCCTCCCAGCACCATCCCTGCTGGTGCCACCACAGGACACAATCCAGCTGGAGAGGGTCCGGCAGCCCCTGCCCACAGTCGGTGTCGCTCCAAAGCTTCCCTAATCCAGCACTAAAGCAATTAAAAACGGAATAATCTCAGCACACTTTAATTGAACCTCAGCCCCCGCCACTAACTGCAATTAGTTGGGCTCCAGCAAATAGGATTAGAGGGGAACCAGGAGTGTTTTCCATGGAGAACAAGCTACTTCCGTGGCAGAGAGCAGGGCCCGGCTGTTAATTTGGGTTCATTAGCGGGCGACACTCAAGGGCTTGGTGGGTCCTTGGGAAGCTCATCCTGGGATGATGGGGGGGTCCGTGGGGGTCCTCATAGCTGTGAGTCCCTCAGGATGGAGGGGAGGGGTGCTGTGCCAAGTTTAGGGGTTTTAAGACAGAGGCAGAAAGAATCAAGGAAGAAAAGGCACCGTGGAGAGCAGGATGTGACACCAGGGACAGGGACAGTGTCCTTGACATGAGGCTGCTGCTTCCCACGTGCTCGGGGCCACACGCTGCCTCTCACGGGCCCTTCCCATGGAGAAGCCCCTAAGAGGCTTATGGGGAGGGGTCCAGCACAGCCCTCCCCCACCAGGGCACGGACAAGGTGCTTAAAATCCAAGGTGCTTAAAATCCCCTCAAGGTGCTTAAATTCCATCCAGGAGCGTGAGGAGGAGGGTTGGGTGTGAGGGGCCACCCAGCCTGCCCTTGGCAGGGATTTGCCATCCCGGGGTGGGGGGGGAACAGCATCCAGCTCCTGGGAAATCCAGGGCTCAGGACAGGCCTGAGCTGCTGCCTGTCCCCAAGGGCAGGATCCTCTGTGGCTGGAGGTGACACGGCCTGGAGTGACACCCCTGGGATCCCGTGCTCAGCACACACCAACAAACACTATAAATGATCCCAGACCAGACCCCTCCACCCAGCCTGGAACAGCGGCCGTGGGGCTGTCCCCTGCCGCTTTGGGGGACCTGGGGGGGCTCAGTCCTTCTTGGAGCGCAGCCTGATCTCCATCCTGAGGATCATTTTGATGTTTTCGTCCTCCACGTGCTGCTCCACAGCCTCCAGGGCCCGGGCTCCCCCATCCCGGTGCCGCTCCAGCAGCTCCTCCACGTACCCCACCCACACACAGTTGGGGCAGCCGGTCCCGCAGCAGTGTGTGGGCGGGGGGGGGACTGGGGGGTCTGCAGGAGGGACCCCACCATTGCCACCGGGGGTGTCTATGCTGCTGTCCCTCCCTGGGGTGTCCGAGGAGCTGCTGCCCTTTCCCGGCGTGTCTGAGAGCTCCCGGAGGCTGGAGATGTTGGTGGGGTGGGGGTGCGGGGTCCCTTCTCTGGGCACTCCCCCGGCGCTGTTTGGGGGCTGCAAGAACAAGACCCCCCTCATTGCTGATGCCAGTCTGGGGGACACGGGGTGTGAGGGGGCAGCCCTGGCTGCTGCACCCCCAACTCAGCCCCGGGACCCCCCTCCCACCACCAGCACCCCCCAGCAGCTCCCCCTGTCCCCCCTGAGCCCCCTCATATCTTCCCCCATAATCCCCAGACCCCCTCCCCAGCACGCCCTTGGTCTTCCCATAGCCCCCCCGGCCCAACACCCCCTTGTCCCTCCTCAGTCCCTCGCTCACCCCCACGCCCCATTTCCCCCTTGTCCTCTCATTCCCCCCCAGCATCTTCTCCTCCCCTCAGCCCCCATCCTATCCCCAGCCCCTCCTGTGACCCCCCAGCACCCCCGTGTCCCCCCACATCTCATCCCCAGCACCCCCTTGTTCCCCCCCCGGACTCGCCGTGTCCCCCCCCGTCCCCAGCACTGCGTTGTCCCCCCGCGTCCCCCCCGTCCCTCCTTTCCCCGCTCACCCCCCGGCGCGGCCCCGCCAGGCCCCGCGCCCCCCGCAGCAGCATCCGGCCCCGCCCCCCGCTCGAGTGACAGGTTCCTCAGCCAATGGCCACCCGGTACGGCCAAAGGGGTGGGAGTTAAGGGGAGGGAGCGACCAATAAGGAGCAGAGGGCGGGACCGCGAATCCGGAAGTGGCGGCGGAGCGGCCACGTGAGGAGCGGCGGGGACATGGCCCGGAGACCGGGACCGGGACCGGGACCCGCCCGGGGACCGCGGCAGAGACCGGGACCGGGACACAACCAGGGAAAGAGACCGGGATCGGGGCAGAAACAGGGCCGGGGACCAGGACAGGGACAGAAACCGGGACCGGGACAGAGACCAGGACAGAAACCAGGACCAGGACAGAAACCGGGACCGGGACAGAGACTAGGACAGAAACCAGGATCGGGACAGAAAGCGGGACCGAGATCGGAACATGGGCAGGCCGTTCCGCGGCGCAGCAGGTCAGGGGGATCCGGTCGGGATCGTACCTGGGACATGGACCCCAGGGGGGGTCTCGGGGCGCGGGTCCTGATCTTTCCCCGTGCCCGGGTCCCGATGTTTCCCCGTGCCTGGTCCTGATCTCTCCCCATGCCTGGGTTCCAGTGTCTTGCTGTGCCCGAGTCCTGATGTCTTTCCATACCTGGATCCTGGTATCCTGCCATGCCCAGGTCCCGGTGTCTCAGTGTCCGGGTCCCGCCATCCCAGTGTCCCAGTGCCTGTGTCCTGGGGTTCCATCCCCCGAGTCCTACTGTCCTGTCCATCCTGCCCGTGTCCTGGAGTCCCAGCCTCCAGCTCCTGGTACTTCCCTGCAGGCCTCTCACTGTGCTCATTCCCTGCAGGAAGGAGAGGAAGGTGGACAACATGAAGCCCAAGCACCCCGAGGAGCAGGAGATCCCGTTCCGCCTGCGGGAGATCATGCAGAGCCGCGAGGCCATGAAACGCCTGGGCCAGGGGAAGAGGAAGGCAGCAGGTGGGACACACAGGTGGCCCAAGCAGGTGGCCCAGGGCCTGGCCCAGGAGCCCATGGCACAGCTGGAATCTGCCATGGGAGCTCCTTGTCCCTCTGGTGATGTCCTAGCCCTGCCCTGGCAGCAGGAGGGACCCTGGGGTGTCACTGCTGCAGTAATGTCCCCCGTCTCTCCTAGAGAAGAAGCAGCAGCAGAAGCCCAAATCCAAGGGGGACATCCCGGTGCCCAGGTTCCGGAGGGGGAAGGGGGAGTCGGAGCGTTCCTACATCTGCCGCATGGAGCAGGAGGTGCAGCACGTCCTGTTCCTCACTGAGAACCAGCTCCAGCGGGAGCCTGAGCGGGAGGACACAGCCCCAGAGAAGTCCCAGAGGAAAAAAGAGTGAGAGCAAGGCCATGGGGGCCGGATGGGGCCAGCCCAGGCCTGTGGCCTGTCCCCCTACTCGGTTCTGCCGGGCAGGTCTGGCATTGGCAGCGGCTGGTGGGGCAGGTGGGGGGTTGTGGGCCCCCTCTCCATGGATTTGGATCTCTGGGAATGGAGCCACAAGCCTGCTTCACCCTCCTGGGGGGCGAGCTGTGGGATTTGTGTGGCTCCTGTGGGGTAGGGACTCACCTCCTTGCTCCCGAGCCCTGGCCACAACGAGGCTCCTCAGGTTTCAGAAAAAGAAGCTGGAAAAAGCTCGGAAGAAGAAGGAGGAGAAGAAGGCAGACATGCTGGAGAAGAGCCTGTTCCAAGGTGGGGCTGAAGCAGGGTGGGCTGGAGTGACCCCCAGCCCTGGGGGGCAAGCACATGGAGGGAGGGGATTGGGGAGCCGGACTGGCACATCCCCGGGGGCTCTGACCTGACTCTGGCTCTGGTTTCCCTCACAGACACGGTGGCGTTTGGGGAGGTGGTGACACAGCCACCCACCATCACCTCACGGCCCCGGGGACAGGGTCCTGCCGAGCAGGTGAGCTCTGGGGGACAGTGCCACCCCCCCGGGTACCTGCAGGGCTGGGGTGGCCTCATTGGCTCGGTGGCAGCTCCTGGCAGCGCGGTCCTGGTGTCTCATCCTTCATCCCTGAGCTGTCCCGGCTCTGCCCACAGGCTGGACGGAAGCGGCTCCTCCTGACACCTCGGCTGGGCCGGAACCAGGCATCCCCCGTGTCCCCAGTGTCCCCAGTGATGTCCATGGCTCGCCGGCGCATCGTGGAGGAGGAGAGGGCGCGGGTCATCCAGGCCTACAGGGACATCCAGAGGCGGAAACAGCTCCAGCGGGAACGTTCCCAGGCTGGGCACAGGGCCCCGCACTGAGCCCACCCGGAGGGGCTGTGCATTCCTGGTCCCTCTGCAGAGACCCCGGGACTCGAAGGAGACATTGTTGTGATGCTCTCCTGTTGCTGCTGAGCTCTGAGACTCCCACAGACTCCCCGGAGTGGGGTCCCTGCGGTGCCACGGACCTGCTTGGAGTAAAAGTGCCAGTGGGAGCTGATGGCGTGAGCATGTCTGTGCTACGGCCCTGCCCGAGTTCCTAAGGGACACTGCTGTGCAGGCAGATGGCAGTGCCAGGCATGTCACTGTCACCACAGGCTGGCCCTGGCAGGGCTCTGGTGAGGGCAGGACCCTCGTTGCTCAGCCTTGAGGAGACCCCAGTGCGTGGCCATGACCCCTCCAGCTCCAGTCCTCAGGGGGAGGAAAGCAAGGCAGTGCTGAGGACATGGAGCGTCCCACAGGGCTTACCTGCACAGTGTCACCTCCCTGTGGTGTCACCGCTCATGGCACTATGGAGCCCCTGGTCTGCGGCCGCGCCACCCCTGCCCTCGGCACCGCTGCCTGTGTGCCCCCCTGGCCCTGGCAGACCCCTGATGACCCCGGTGCCAGGTGTGCTGCCACATCCCCACCACTGCACCCACACCCCCACCGTGCCACCCGCCCCATCCGTGCGATGCCCCCCGGCAGCCCCCGGCTCAGGGCCCCGGGGAGGCTCCGGGGCTGCTCCCGGCGTGGCTCAGCCGTGTCTGCCCTCACCTGCCCGCACAAAGGCCCTGCTGTTCCACGGCCCCGCCGGCACAAAGCATTCCCTGTTGGAGCGGGGCTGCGGCCGGCGCTGGCGGCACCGGTGGGATCCCGCGCTTCCGGAGGGGCTGGGCATGGGAGGGAGCCACCGGCAGTTCCGCTGTCCCCACCGGAGCTGAGCAGGGACAGTCTCTACTGCCCTGCTTTTCGGGGTCACTGCTGTGCCCCTGGGGAGGTGGACAGGCCTTTGGGGTGGTCACACGCTGGACCCCGCTCTGCCATGTGGTGCCAGTGGCTGGGAGGAGGGAGCGCTGCGGTGACAGTGGCCCTGGGGACACCGAGTGCCTGGCGCTGCTGGGTGATGTTCCTTCTGCCACCCGGCACCGGGTAAACACAGGTGCCAGGTAAACACAGGTACCAAGTAAACACAGGTACCAAGTAAACACGGGAGCCAGATAAACACGGGAGCCAGGTAAACACGGGAGCCAGGTAAACACGGGAGCCGTGGGGGGGCACGGCCACATCCCACTGCAAACACCCGCCTCCCACGGCTGTGTGTCTGGAGCCGGGAGCGTGGGCGTGTGCCAGCCAAGGGCACGGTGGGGACATGGCATGTGCCACACTCCCACTGTGTCCCCCTCGTGCGGGCACTGTGCAGGGCACACGTGCCCGCTGGCAGCCCCTCCGCCGCCATCCCGGCTCCGGCTCAAGGAGAGCAGGTCACTCGCCTGCCCCCACGGAGCCATTCCAGCCCTGAATAATTCATGGCACCGATGGCCGCAGGCTTTCTGCCCAGAGGAGGAGGAATGGCTGTGGAGGGGAAGGCAATCCGAGCGGGAAAACCGCGCGACCTTGGCACGTCCTCCGTGCTGCGCTGCCTCCCGCCCAGCAGCCCATCTGCCCATGGGATCCTGGCCCAGCCGCCCTATCTGGGAGGGCTGGGCACGCTGAGGGCCCTGCCCTGAGCCCCCCCTTGCTCCCTGTCACCCCCCGAAAGGGGAACGTGGCACTGAGCCTGCAGGCACCGTGGTGGGATCAGAATGGGGGAGCAGCCGGTGACACACCTGGGGACACCTCCCATCACGGGCCACCTGTGACAGCACCGTAGGAAAAACCGCCTTTATTGGGGTGACCTGAAAAAAAATGGGGAAGAGGAAAAACAACAGAGAAAGCCGCAGGAAGGGCGAGGGGCCCAGCCCCCTCCCCAGAGGGGTTCCTGAGCCCTGAGGGGGGAAGGCACCAAGAAGTCAGCTGGAACTGTGGGGCCCCAGCAAGGCACTGATCCCCCAGGCCCCCAGCAGCCCCCCTTCCCCAGCAGTGGGGAAACCGAGGCACGGCAGGAAGCAGAGCCAGGGACAGCTTTGTGTCCCCTCACACCCCGTGGTGGGAGGGGGCCGGGCCAGCTCAGGGTCCCCAGGGCTGGTGGGGTCAGCGCGGAGCTGGGGGCTTGGTGCCCTGGATGGGGGTCCCACCGGCTCCCCAGCTTCAGAGGGTCCATGGCCCGGGGGGGACGGGGTGTCTGTGCATCACAAAGGCAGTGAGCCAGTCCTTGAGGCAGGCTGTGGGGTCCGGGCAGAGCTGGCAGCTTGCAGGTGCCATGGCCAGGTGGGACGGGCAGGTGGGAGCGCTGGCTCTGGGGCCGTATCCGGGCATCCCGTTGGCAGGAACTGGCTCTGGCTGCTGGCCAGGGTGGGATTCACACGTCAGGGCAGGATGAGGCTTGGCGAGACCTCGGGAGCAGGACGGAGGGGCCGCGGCTGTGCCAGTGCTGCGGGACCTGTGCCACGGGGGCTTCACCACCGGTTCCTGCTGTACGGGGACTGCACCTGCGGGCAGAGCGAGGTGGCACAGCAGTGGCACCAGGACTGTGGCTCCTGCACCGGTGGCACGTGCACCCTGACCCACTGGGGGTCTCTGGGTGCTGGGCAGAGCCATCACCACGGCAGGCAGACTTTGCCCCTGCCATGGCCGGGTGCCCGCTGTTGTTCACCCACCTGGAAGTTCCGGGTGTCCCGTGGGGTGCCGACGTGCCGGGCTTGTGCTGCAAAGGCATCCTCAGCTCGAAGCGTGGAGCTGGCACTGCCGGGTGCCGGGCTGGTGGAGGCGCGGGGCAGGATCACGTCATAGGGACCTTCACTCTGAGGGACAGGCACGGGAGGTGTCACAGCACTGGGAACACCCCCAGCCCCGCAGGGTCCCGGGGGAGGAAGGCTCAGAGGGTCCCCACCCCGTTACAGCAGCCATTGGGACACGGGGGTCATGGCAGCCCCCACCCCCTCACCCCCTGTCCCCCATCCTGGCTGCTCCGGTTGGAAGCCCGATAGGATGTGGCTGCCCCCAGTGCCACCTGGTGTCACACTCACCATCCCCTTGTGCATCAGAGCCATCTCGGTGGGCTGGTACACGCTGGTCAGCAGCTGCCCGTTGTAGCCGCTGTACGGGGACACCGGTTTCTTGGCTGCTGAGACACAGGGACGGTCACCATGGAGCCACCCCCCCTCACCAGGGCTCCCGGTACCTCGTTAGCAGGTTTAATTAGCTGACTCAGCAGCTCTGTGCCTTTCCCAGGGACACTCCTGTCCCCAGGGTTGGCATCTCTGCGCTCCCGGCGTAGCCCCTGCATGGCTGCGGTTTGTTATTGTAGGGTCTCGTGGGTGCAGGTGCTGCTCGGGGGGACCCTCCCTGCCCTGTGGGGTACAGACACCTGGTGCCCGCCCGTGATGCCCACTGGGGTGACTGTCACCACCCCATGTTATTGTAGGGTCTCGCGAGTGCAGTGTCTGCCCGGGGCAGAGGGCCGGGAGCCGCGGGCACCCCACGCCGGGGAGGGAGCACCC